ATTTTTAGGATTCAATGTATATATTTAAATATAAAATAAATTAAAATGGGATAGTTGCAATTTTAAAGTTTGAGCTACTTAAGAATTTAGATGCTTGCTTTAACAGTTCTTTTATTTTACATAATGAATTAGATATTAAGAGAGAGAGCAAATGCCTATGAAGGTAAATCTCTTAGAGTCATTTCACAATTTATACGTGCTATTCATTGCCTTGATTATCTACCTTCATTCACATTTGTACATATTGATATCTATTTAGTCAACATTAACTTAATTATAGAAGATTTAAAGCGGTGAAATTATAAAGTATGTCAGAAGTACATTTGAGTTAGAAAATATCAAATTGCTAAATTATTTACAAGAAATACATTTACATTTTCTAATTCAACTAAGATAATTAAAGACTTATCTAGGTGTCAATTTCTGCAGGGAGGGGAGAGTTTTAAGGTTTGGAAAGGACTTTATTCATGTAAACATTTTACCATTTATAGCCAAATTATTGTAAGTACTCATTAACTAATTTCCCAAATTTATCAAACATTTTAATATTTTATTGTTTTTAAGTGTCGTTGAGTCTGTTCCAACTCATAGTGACCCTGTATAGGGTTTCCAAGGCGTGGCTTGTCTTTGAACCACTGACCTTGTGTCTCAAACCTCCCTTGTGCTCTGGTGCTTACCCTATGGCAACAGACCAAGACTCCATCTTTTAGTAATCAATAACTAACCAATAGTTTTTCAAATGAAAAGAATGTTATGTGACCAAGTCCAAAACTAAGTCATAATTTCTAACAGTTTCTATTTGACTCAGATGATGTTGACTTGGAGATATTCATTTAGCGTGGCATTACTTGGTCATAGGGATACCCATTGTCAGCCTTAATAGATCACTATCAAGGAAGTTTCCAAAAGGAAAATAAAAAGTTTGTATTTTGCTTTTAAAAACAGTCAGTTTCTGTTAAGACTGAAAATACTAAATCACTGTAACATAGCAAATTCACATCTGGGTATTCAACTGAATGCATACCACAAGATAGAGAAAAAAATAATCATAGAAGCATTATTCAAATTAGCTGAAACTAAAGAATGCACACCTGAATTAACAGCAGAATGGATAAATAGGCCGTGATATATTTATGCAATGGGATATTGCATAAAATTACGACACACAAGATATGAGTGGCTCTCGCAGATAATGAATGAAGTTTGGCACAAGAGTGCATACCTACTGATCCATTTATATGATGCTGAAAAGCAAGCAAACTAAGTTGATAAAAAGCAGATAAGTGGTTATTTTTGGACAATGTTGTTAGATATTTGGTTTTGATGGTGGTTAGATTGAGCTGTGTGCATTTAGCTGTTATTACACATTTTATGCAGGTTATATTTTGATAAAATGTGTTAGAAAAAAATATGCCAGTTGTAGGTAGGAGTTTCCATATCTGGAGTGAAGAAAGTGGATCATAGGAAGAAGAGTGACGAGGGGATTTCATTCATTTCCTTCATAATGTGTCACTTGTTCTCTTTCCTAAACTGAATGTTTCTACACTAGGGACTTGCCAGCTCAGCCCCTTAATTCTATGAGGTTCACAAACTCTTGCCTGGGGCTCCTCCCGCTTGGAGGCGGGTAAGGACGGATGGATATAGGGACGCAGTGTGATAGGGAGGATTCAGTTTCCCATCAGTTCCTCACGATACACCAGGAACTGCAGAAATTAGAGGAAAGCTGCCAACTGCCAGTGGTTCCTAGCTAGTGCCCTGTGTTTCAGCGGCGATGCGCTGGACAGCGCCAGGATGACTTCCGCTCCTTGAGGCCAACAATACCGCAGGTACTTTCTTAATCTCAGAGGGAAAGATCTTTGCTCACCAATTGACTGTTTCCCGATATAAACAAGAACAAATGTTGCATGAGGGAACAAAGACGCAAAACTCCTTTGACTTTGTGTGTGTGTGCGTGTAAATTTGTAACCAAACGTCACCAACGCTCCCTTTGCAGAACTGGAACACCTGAGTGCTTGGACAGACACCTCACCAGTCCCTGTTCTCTTCGAAAGGCGGCAGCGTGGCGCGTTTCCCCGGGGCAGTAAACTTGCCGGGATCAGAAAGAAATCGATTAAACCTAAGCCGTGTGCGGTGCACATCTCAGGGCACCTGGACGCATGAAAACTCCAAAGGACTTTTCTGAAACGGAGGTTATGCCTCCCAGGTCTCTTGCCAACTTTTCTCTGACCACGGGCGCCAATCACAGTGACTTCATTATGGGGTTGTCAGAGAGGGATCTCCCGATGCTTCCTGACGGGACCACTGCGGAGTTAGTAGTCCGCTGTGTTATCCCATCCCTCTACCTGCTCATCATCACGGTGGGCTTGTTGGGCAACATCATACTGGTGAAAATCTTCATCACCAACAGCGCCATGAGGAGTGTCCCCAACATCTTCATCTCTAACCTGGCCGCAGGGGACGTGTTGCTGCTGCTCACCTGTGTCCCGGTGGACGCCTCTCGCTACTTCTTTGATGAGTGGATATTTGGGGAGGTGGGCTGCAAACTGATACCAGTCATCCAACTCACCTCCGTGGGGGTTTCTGTGTTCACTCTCACGGCCCTCAGCGCGGACAGGTAAGGATTCAGCATAGTGATGGAGAAGGGCCCGGGGAAGGATGCACCTAGACAGAGAGGAGGGAGTAAATAAGGAAAAGCCTTGGAAGGAGAGGGGGAAAGAAGGAATAAGAGTGAAATGAATTAAAACAGACTGGAATGTGAAGTTAGGAAAAATTATGGTGGAGAGGTATTACAAAACTACAAAATCAACAATAAAACCTGCCTTAGAGTGAAAGTAGTATTAAAATTGGCATATCTTAGTGGCCCTGCAAACCCTTCTCCCACTTTGTGAATTTTTATTTGCATCTTTACTTTGTTGCAAAGAAAAGTTGTAGAACAGTGAGCAATAATGCAGCTATCATGTAGTAGCTTTTAGTGTGTGCCTCAGACCTTAGAACTGTCCTTTCCTTATTTAGTGGGATAATAATCTAATGGGTAAGAATGACTATCTTAATATTATGGAATTGTCTTGTTTTGATCTTTTTTCTCAAACAGGAGAAAATTCATTTACATATATTAATTAAATTCTAATACTTTTGAAAGGAAGACATTTAGCATAATATATTTTCTTCAGACAGATGATTTTATACATTTTTCTTACTTAATAGCTATAGTTAAGTGATATGCCCTTTTCCACTTATAGGTAGGTATCACATTTTAATACCGTAAAACAACACTCTAAAAATATCAAGAATTTTGATAGTAAATTTGCTTTTCATATATTTTAAGGGTGTGCAATATCCATTATTCTACCTTGCAGATCAACTAGCTCAAGTGTGTCATTTCCAGGGGAGAACATCGAGGCCCAGGGAATGTGGGTTTCCTTGGCAGAGTTGGGAGAAAACTCCAAGCCTCTTGATTCCTGGTTCAGTGCCATTACTCCAAGCTATAATCATACTTCAGGGCACTGAGGCTGGAGAGAATGTCTGGGTTGGGGTGGGGGATAAAATGTAGGGTTAGGCACAATTGCATTGAGTTTCTGCTAATTCCCTTGGAAAGATTGATTTCACACTATGTAGAAAAACAATGCAACTTGGATAATTATAGTGGTGATGATGCTCCTCCTCTTTAATTTACATACTAAATTATTAATAAAAAAACTAGTCTCATTCTGAGTTTCCTGATATTTGCAGTAATGCCTTTTTTTTTTTTTTTTTTTTTTACTTTGGCAGGACAGAAGATATTTAATGGGAAGTTGAGAGCTATTGTCTTTTTTAACTGTACACTATTAATTTTTTAATTTGTGCAATATACTCTCTAAAACCACATTCTGAAAATTAGATGCTTATTGTGTTAGGAATCTGATTTTGTTGACATGATATTATTTCCATTACTTAAAAATTATATGAATTTAATAAGTCATATGTGACTTTTTAGTTGAACTGCCCTTTTTATGGGACCTGTTTTAACAAGAAATTAAGATACTTCTATTTTAATTATTAGAATTAAACTCAATGAATAGCTATCACTAAAATAGTTGCAATTATGATTATTACATTTTCCTTTTAAAAAAGGTGCCAGTAGAAAGACCCAAAGCTTGAGTTTATTTCATACTAATCTTCTCAATTTACTGCTATGGAGGCACATTGGTAAAAACGTCCCGAGCAAGGTCAAAGGAAATGCTGATCCTCATATTGTTACTGAATTTCTTAATTTCATATGTTACTATGCCCTTTATGAATAGAGCATGGATGTTGTTGTTGTTGTTGTTGTTGCGAAGTGCTGTTGAATCGGTTCTGACCCATAGCGACCCTGTATAGGGTTTCCGAGGAGCAGCTAGTGAGCTTAAACCACCGACCTTGCAGTTCAAATGGCTTTGCAGACTGGCACATCAACCCACAGCACAGCACCAGAACTCCTAGAGCATGGATACTTAAGTATTAATCACAATAGAGAAAAATGGGTTGCTTCTTCTGATTGCTTGGTCCATCTGACTACCTTTGACTATCAGAGTGTGTTTTCAAAATACAAATTGAGAAATCTGAGTCACTGGTGATGCATTCAAGTATTCACTTGAATTGTTTGAAAACATGTTGTGATATTTGCATATTGTCTCCATTTCTATTTTTCTTCTAGAAAATAGCAATCACATGTGGATTAGTCCCATGATCTCCTAATATTTTATTTTACCTAATGTTTTGATTTCATGTGGATTTGAAACATCTATAAGATGAATTGCATTTAGAATTGTGCTAAGATTTTTGTGTGAGGGTATTATTATTATTATTACCTTTTTAAAGTAAAGAAATACAAGGCTTAAAATTAAGTGGCATTTTCATGTCTTACACTTAGTAAATAATGGAGCTAGGACTTGAATCAAGTTTAAAGCCTTTGCCTTTCACCATTAAGCCAGATTATTACATTTCCAAGAAAAAGAAAATTATGAATGGTCTTTCTTAATTAACATCAGACTGATTCTTTAAACTTAAAGCAAAGTAGCCAAGAGTGAAGAAAAATTCAATAATTATAAATCTACCTTGGGTCTTAAACCACCTTGCTTTGTATGGCTAAAAGGTGATATGGGTAATACTTTATGGTATTTGATTATGATTCCTGACATTTCAAGCTGTTTTGAGGACTTTCAACTAATACATCCTTAGGAAAGATCGTATATCTACTCCAAGTTGACAAAGGAGCCCTGGCGACAGTGTGAATTAAGTGCTGGGCTCCTAAAAGGAAAGTTGGCCGTTCAAACCAACCACCTGTCCCTTGGGAGAAAGATGAGGTGATCTGCTTCTAAGGATTTGCAGTCTCAGAAACCCTAAGGAGCAGTTAAGTTCATTCCTATAGAGTCGCTGTGCATTGGGATCAACTTGATGGCAGTGAGATTTTTTGGTTTTCTAGGTTGACAGAGTTGACTTTGGAGGCATATTATAATCAGCATGGCTGGGGGAGGGACATTGCCTGATTTGAAATGGTGATAGTGATACTTTAGTTTTTTGTTTTGCTTTTATCTTGATAGAGTTTTGTTGTTTGTTATTATTGTGAAAAAATGTACTTTTTTTTGATTGTTCAAATTAAGTAGCTTATTTAAAGTATTTCTATATTCTCTGTTGTATTTGTTTCAAATGAAAACATTTTACTCTTTCTTCTTGCCTACTGTGCTGATTCAGAGTCTTGGTGTGGCGCTATGGGTTAATACGCTGGACTGCATGATCAGTTTGATCCTCAAGGTTGGCAGTTCAAGATCACCAGCTGATTCTCAGAAACACTATACAGGGTTGCTATGAGTTGGAATTGACTCAATGGCACTTAAAATAATAACAACACAGTGCTGATTATATATAGCATAGAGTTAGAGAGAGGAATCCAGGACCTTAGGTCTTCCATCCGTATCCTACAGCCAGAGGATAACGGAGCATTTGAAAAGGTTAACACACTCAAGTGCTAAACACAGATAGGTTAGAGGTCAACCCAGTGGTGTCTCAGAAGGAAAGTCTGGTGATGCATCTACATTTGAACAATCAGTCACTGCAAACCTGATGGAGTGCAGCTCTACTCTGTCACACATGGGGCCACCATGGATCTGAGTCTACTTCATGACAATTGGCAATTTGTTGTTGGTTGGTTGGAATCTCTCTTTCAATAAATGTTATAGATTGAACTGTGTCCCCTTGAAACATGTGCTGTAAATCCTACTATACTTGTGGCTATAATCCCATTTAGTAATCGAGGAATTTTACTATGGCACTAGACAGTACTAATGAATGCTGGGCATTATTTAAGCCACTCTCTCTTTAGATATAAGGACAGATGGGGAAAGATCCCCGTGATTACCAAGGAAAAGAAGCTGACGGGAAACAAGGACTTGTCCCAGAGAGGACACAGAGAGAAACCTAGAACCAGTGCCCTGAATTCAGACTTCCAGACACCCAAAATGTGAACAAATACATTTCCGTTTGTTAAAGACACTGGCTTGTAGTATTTCTGTTATAGCAGCACTAGATAACTAATAAGTTTTGTTTTTCTTTTGAAGAGAGTAATCGGAAACATTTTATTCCTAGGTACAGAGCGATTGTAAACCCCATGGACATCCAGACCTCGGGGGCAGTGATGTGGACCTGTATGAAGGCCGTGGCTATTTGGGTAGTGTCTGTGCTGTTGGCAGTTCCTGAAGCCGTGTTTTCTGAAGTGACTCAAATTGGAAGCCTAGAAAATGGCAGCTTCACAGCATGCATCCCCTACCCTCAGACAGATGAGTTACACCCAAAGATTCACTCAGTGCTTATCTTCTTGGTCTATTTCCTTATACCACTTGTTGTTATTAGTGTTTATTATTATCATATAGCAAAGACCTTAATTAAAAGTGTACACAATCTTCCTGGAGAATACAATGAGCATACCAAAAAACAGGTAAGCATATAGGTGTGTGTGTGTGCATGCGTGTGCATGTGTAGGACAGTGGTTTGGCCCAACAATTGCAATTATTTTTGTTTTATTTCATGGGTCATGAATGCAATGGAGGGTTATAGTAGAGTCACAGGTTTCCCTGGGGTCTGCATTGGCCTTAACTGTAGGGCATGTTGGGAAATTTCTAGTGTGCGGTATGTAGCTCTGGTCCAGCCTTTTTCTTGTCTCAGCCTGTGACAAGGCCTGAAATTACATCATTAGAAATTATTGTCTTTGAATATTTTTCATTAAGTGTAATCAACACAATAAAGCAAATTTTCATCTCATTTTAAGTATAAATTTAACTACTTGTTCTTCTCCCATTAGCCCACTAGAGATAGCAGGGAGGCTGGAAGAAGGCGGCAGCAGGAGAGAACGCTAGGGCATTGCATGGGATCTGGGATTGGGGTGTTGAGGGGGCTGCCAAACTGAGAGACTTTGATAAAAGTTGAGTTGGTGCTGAAGAAGTATATTTAGTCTAACTCAGCTTTCTAACTTTATAAAGATTATGTATTAATTTAAAAGCAGCAATATATTCTTTATTCTTTCTTTATTAAATCATTGTTGTTGTTTTTAAGTGCCGTTGAGTTGGTTCCGACCCATAGTGACCCTGTATAGGGTTTCTGAGGAGCAGCTGGTGAGCTGGTGACCTTGCCATTCAATGGCTTTGCAGTCTGGTGCATTAACCCACAGTGCCCCACCAGGATCCCTATTAAATCATATACAATACTAATTTCAGATAAAAGCAATGGTGTGAATCCACTAATAGGCTGAAATGCTCTTCCTGGTGCTACAGAATAAGCACTGGCCCGCAGGTCAGTTTCAACCAGAAGCTTGGCAATTTAAACTCACCAGCCACTCTTTGTAAACCATATACACAGCTCTGGTAGTGTAGTGGTTACAAGTCGGGCTGCTAATGTCAACATCAGCAATTCAAAGCTACCAGCTGTTCCATGGGAGAAATATGAGGCTTTCTGTTCCTGTAAAGTTTTACATCCTCGGAAACCCTCCACAGGGTTACTATGAGTGGAATCGACTCCACAGCACTTAACAACAACAAAGTTCCAAGTTGTTTATTTTGTACACTCCAGGAGAGGAACTACTTCTAAAGATTCTGTAGGTGAGAGGAAGTTATGAGTGCCCGGTCCTCAGTCTAAAGGAAAAAAAAAAAAAAATCTCTTCTCAGATACCATGTGAAGGTTCTTGGGTGAGAACTAGCCTTCATGGGCAGAAGTTCAGTTGCATTAGATATCCCCATCTGCTTTAAAGAACAATTAATCTTGAAAGTCATGGTTAGATGCATTAATAGCTTGTATCAAAGTATCTGATATAATGGGAACCAAATGACCAACTCATACAACACTAAAGAACAAAACAACAATCTTGTCATTATTGTTGAGTTAATTCCAACTCATGGAAATGCCATATGTTGCCACTATGCTTTATAATAAATATCAAGTTATTCTATTTAGAACTTGGCAATCCAACATGTATCCCAGTTTGGGTATTTGAGTCATTGCTTTCTTTTTCTTTTAACTTTTTATTGTGAATTGAGTGAAGGTTTACCAAGTAGATCATCAGTTTGACATTAAACAAATCACATTCCTCTCAGTGTAACATCACTTACCCATTTCATCCTTATTTATTGTTTCCATTCCTTCTTTCCCCCCCACCCCTCTGAATTTTGTCCTTGGGTAGTAAATATTGTTTTGGTCTTGGATGGTTGACAATTCTATGTTGTGGGTACCTCACTAACATTGTTGTCCCAATCTCTTACTTGACTGTAAATTGAGCCATGGGGGTGAGTTAAGTTCCAGACCTAAAGGTTGACTAAAGATCATAGTGTCAGGTTTCCACCAGAGAAAGAATTCTGGTGTGGCACTGGAAGATTAGCACTGGACAAAGAGTTACAAGATAGACAGTTCAAACCCACCAGCTACTCCTTGGAAACCCCATGCAGGGTCACTTTGGAACTGAACCAACTCAATGGCACTTAACAATAACAAAAACAGGTAGTTTTAGCTCAGGAAATACTGTGTTTCCCACTAAAAAATTGATGCTTTTGAGTTATGGTATTGGGGGAGAATATTGAAAGTGTCATGGGCTGCCAAAAGAACAAACAGATCTGTGTTGGAAGAAGTGTAGCCAGAGTGCTCCTTGGAGGCCAGGATGGCCAAACTTCGTCTCTCATACTTTGGACATGATATCCAGAGGGACCAGTAGCTGGAGAAGGATATCATGTTTCGTAAGGTGGAGGGTCAGAGAAAAAGAGAAAGACCCCCAGTGAGATAGATTGACAAAGTGGCAGCAACAGTGGGCTCAAGCGTGGCAACAGTAGTGAAGTTGGCCCAGGATCGGGTAATGTTTCATTCTGAAGCGCATTAGGTTGCTATGAGTCCATACCGACTGGATGGCACCTAATAACAACAACTCTCAATGTGTTTTGATAAATTATCTGTTCAAGATTTGTAGTGCATTATTTAAGTATTGAAACAAGTTAGACAAGTAAGGGCTAAGTATGGCCTCTAGGAGCTCTGGTAGTGTAGTGGTTACGAATCGGGCTGTGAACCTCAAGTTCAGCAGTTCGAAACTACCAGCCATTCTGCGGGAGAAAGATGAGGCTTTCTGCTCCTGTAAAGATTTACAGCCTCGGAAACCCTGTACACAGTCGCTATGAGTCAGAACCAACTCCACGACACACAGCCACCAGCCAGGTGCTAATAAATGCTCTTTAGAAGCAAAATATTAATATTCAATTTTTGAATTGTCTATCACATTCTTGAAGACTTTTTTTTAATAAAAGTTAATATATTATACAAATTTTATGAAAAAAAAAATAGAAAATGTATTTTTATTTTTAAAGGTCACCTAACATATTTTTTGCTTGCTGAAAGTGAAGAGGACTTGAAACATTTACTGATGAACATCAAAGAGCACAGCCTTTCGTATGGATTACATCTCAATGCAAGAAAACAAAAATCCTCACCACTGGACCAATAAACAACATTTTTATCAATGGAGAAAAGATGGAAGCTGTCAAGGACTTCATTCTTCTTGGATCAACTATCAACACTCGCGGAAGCAGCAGTCAAGAGATCAGACGACGTATTGCATTGGGCAAATCTGCTGCACAGGAACTTTTTAAAGTATTGAAGAGCAGAGATGTCAGCTTGAGGACTAAGGTGTGCCTGACCCAGGCCATTGTGTTTTCAATAGCCTCATATGGATGCGAAAGCTGGACAGTGAATAAGGAAGATCATAGAAGAATTGATGCCTTTGAGTTGTGGTGTTGGAGGAGAATACTGAAAGTGCCATGGACTGCCAAAAGAACCAATAGATCTGTTTAGAAATGCAGCCAGAGTGCTCCTTGGAGGCTAGGATGGCTAAGCTTCGTCTCTCATACTTTGGACATATTGTCAGGAGGAAACAGTCGCTGGAGAAGGATGTCATGCTTGGTAAGGTGGAGGGTCAGAGGAAAAGAGGAAGACCCCTAACGAGATGGATTGGCCAGGTGGCATCATTGATGGACTCAAGTGTGGCAGCGGTAGTGAGGTTGGCCCAGGATCGGACATTGTTTCATTCTGCTGTGCATGGGGTTGCTATGAGTCGGTTCCGAGTCAATGGCACCTGACAACAACAACAACATACTTTTTATAGGATTGACATTTACAGCAGATCCTTTTGATTTATACGAGTCAGGAGAATAAACCTCAAGGTTTTTTTGTTTTGTTTTGTTTTGGTGTGTGTGTAATAAGTCATGCCCTATTTTAATAGATCTATTTTTTTTCTATTTAAAGCTCTCCTATTTTTTTTTATTTAAAGCTTGAATATTCAGTCACTGAAATTAATAAAAATAGAAAAAAATTTGTATTTATAGCAAAAGTGTTTGCAAGACTTCAAAAGGGATAATCATTAAAAGTAAGGAAGCAATTTGTTAAGCTGATGATTTTGAAATGTGGAACCATGTTGCTATTGTTGCTGTTAAGTGCTGTTGAGTTGGTTCCGGCTCATAACGACCCTGTATAGGGTTTCCAAGGAGCTGCTCGTGACTGAGCTGCTGATTGTATAACGTATTTTGTGGTCCAGTGCTTATCCTACAGAACCACGACAGGACTCCTTGTGAGACCATAGCCATTTATTAATAAGGTGCCTATGTTGCACAAATGATTTGTGAAGATGTAAAATTAGCACTGGACTTCTAAGCACAAAGTTGGCAGTTAAAATCCACCCACCAGCTATTCCTACAAAACCCTAGACAGAGTCACTATGAGTCTGAACCAATTTGATGGGCACTTAACAATAACAACTAACCTAAAGGGTGACAGTTTGAACCCACCCAGTGGCAATAGGTAAAAAAAGGCATGGTCATTTGCTCCCATAAAGACTATTGTTGTTGTGTGCCAAGTATGAGTTCCAACTCATATAGACCTGTCTAGGGTTTCCAAGAGTGGCTAATGGATTTGAAATGCCAAGCTTGTGCTTATCAGTCCAGTATTTTATGCTAAAAATGCCACAACCATGAAAATCCTATGGAACAGTTCGACTATGTTACATGTGGTGTTGCCATAATTCAGAATTTACTTGATAGCAATTGGTTAAAAAAAATTTTAGTAATTTATCCTGCGAAGGTGAGCCAAAAATTATCTGTACTCGGTTACATTACAATGCTCATCCACGTCCACAGCTGATGACAATATTGAGTGTGCACTTGAAATGATTCTGTCGAATAGATGCGTGGCAGTGGGCTATGTGGAAAATCATTTGGAAACCAGCCATGGCTCTGCCTATCAAATAACCCATGGCAAACTTGGGTTTTGAAAAGTTTATGCGAGATAAGTACTGAAACAGCTCATGGAAGAGCGTAAACAGATGTGTTTGGGCATCTGCAAACAAAATTTGGACCGATACTCAACAAAAGACAAATTTCCTAAAATAATCATTACTGGTGAGGAGACATGAATGCATCACAAGGAGCCTGGGAGAAAATGTCAGCGTATGCAATGGAAACATCCTCAATTGTTGACCCAGAAAAAGCTCAGAAGTCAACCATCAGCTGCAAACGTGAGGCTTACACTGTTCTGTGACTTTCAAGAGTCAGTACTGAAACACTTTCAGGAAAAAAGGTTCAAAATCAACAGTGCTCATTACAGTGAGATGCTCACTGAAGAACTGAAGCCTAAAGTTCCAATTAAATGCAAAGGACTACTATCCAAGCGTGTTGTGATTTTACATGACAATGCACGTCCACACACTTCTGCCCACATTGTTGACATTGAAAAAACGTCATTTTGAGGTGTTAAAGCATCCTCCCTATAGTCCTGATCTTGCTCCATCAGACTTTCACCTGTTTGGTCCCCTGAAAGCAGCCCTTTGAGAATGAAGATTCACCTCTGATGAAGAAACGATGCAGCAGTGCATTTGTGGCTCACAGCTCAGCCTACAACATTTTTAAATAAAGGAATCCTGAAAGTTTGTTGACAGATGGACAAAGTGTGTTGAAAAGCTAGAAGATTATGTTGAAAAATGATTTATTTGTTTTTTCAAAAAGTGGATTAAAATAAATCCTACAGTCAGAGTGTGGCTAGTTCTTGACTCAACACTTGTGTAATCCTGCATGTTATTGTTCTTTAGCGCCATCTTCATGTGGGTTCCAATACACAGAGACTCTGTATAGAGTTTCCAAAGAGCAGATGGTGGGTTGAACCATGTGTTTATCCTGTAGCACTACATTAGGATTCCATAATCTTGTATAAACCATCAAAAAAAAAAAGAAAAAAAAAAAAAGAAAAGAATTTCTTAGTCAAAATAGATTAAGTATAGCCTATTATGAACAGTTAAAATCACCATGTTGATGAGGAAACTGTATAGTTTATATATTTCTCCATGAATCTGGATGCTATATGAGTATTATTCCTTTCATAAGTGTCAGATGTGAATGGCTCTGTTTTCACCTTGCTGTTGGTGTCAGTTGGTTTGGATTCTTCACGACCCTATATAAGGTTTCTGAGGAACTGCTGGTGGGTTTCAACCCCTGAATGTTTCCTTATTTCCTCAGATGGAGACACGGAAACGCCTGGCTAAAATTGTGCTGGTCTTCGTGGGCTGCTTTGTCTTCTGCTGGTTTCCAAATCACATCCTCTACATGTACCGGTCTTTCAACTATAAGGAGATTGACCCATCGCTGGGCCATATGATTGTCACCTTGGTTGCCCGGGTTCTGAGCTTTTGTAATTCTTGTGTCAATCCATTTGCTCTTTATCTACTCAGTGAAAGCTTCAGGAGGCATTTCAACAGCCAGCTTTGCTGTGGGAGGAAGTCCTATCGAGAGAGATCCACCAGCTACTTATTCAGTTCTTCTGCTGTTAGGATGACATCTCTGAAAAGTAATGCTAAGAACATGGTGACCAATTCAACTTTACTAAATGGGCACAGTATGAAACAGGAAATAGCACTGTGATTTGGATCATTCAATTCACTTCCTGGAAAGAACTCCCTAATTTTTGTAACCCTATTGAACAGAGCTAAACAATTTTCCCAGTCTTACCATCTCATTAGATTGACTCAGAAAATGCAAGACAAACATAGCTAGGATTTTTCTCTGAATAAGACTTTAAATTTCAGTATTTCTCACATTAAAAGTGATTCATGAAAGCAGTCTAAAATATGTATAAATCAATACTGTTTCAAGTTTTGGCTACTGCTATAGTCAGCTCTGGTGTATTTATCTTTAATTTTTTTTTGTAAGCATGAAATAAATTCTGATATTGACTCAACTATTCAATGAAGATAATTCTAACTCTTTTTATTTGAAATGCAAGTCATGTTTTCCTGATGAATTTTATTCATAGCTAGTTCACTTTTCTCTCTCTTTCATTTGAATAAAATAATAGAAAATTCAAAAGATAAACCACAATGAAAAGCTATTACATTATGATCCTTTGTGTGATTAATCATAATTAATATAAATAGTTCATATCTATAACTTTTAAGTGTGTGATTAAAAGATTTGGTGACCTTTGTACTATGAATACTTAAGACCATATTAATGCAAACTACATATTATGTACCTCCAATAAAATAACTATGACACAGAAATTGACATAGCTATCTTTGCATGTATTGCTAAGTGTCTGAATATTTGAATGTTTCTTCATGAATAAAATGAGATTTACGTAATTCTGGTGAGTTCCACTTTCTATCTACCCATCCTCTTTTGCAGTGGAATGCTGACAAGTCTGGGGTCTAGCACTTAGGAAATTTTGTTCTGCATGGCATCACAGCTTTCTCTTAATCAGTGTCTTGGTTTTTTTTCACCAAACTGCAAACATAGTCTTTATTAAATTCTAAAAGCTACCCCCACTTATGGGAGCAAGGTGGGTTCGAGCCAGCCAGCTGTTCTGCAAGAGAAAGGTGAGACTTTCTACTCCTGTGAGGTTTAAAACTTCACTTAGACATTAATAACTAGAATATTTGAATTAATGTATTTTGTACTTTAATTTCAAAGTTGCTGAGAAGAAATTGAAAATTTGGTTAGTAGGTTATGCTAAACTCTTACTTAAGCATCCCTAACCCATACTATATAAGATGTAAAATATTCATGCATACACACACACACACACAAACACACACACACACACAAACAACCCAAATCCACTTCTATTGAATTGATTCTGACTCCTAGTGGTCTTAGGTAAATCTTTGTTGTTTGTGATAAGTGCCATCAAGTCGGCTCTGACACATAGAAATCCTGTATAGGGATTCCAAGGAGTGGCTGATGAGTTTGAACCACCGACCTTGTGTTTCAAACTGTACGTAAATCTTTATGGGAGCAGAAATCTCCTCTTTTTCCTGTGGACTGGATGGCGAATTCAAACTGCTCAGTGAGCTACTGTGGTTAGTGGCTCAGTGCATGATCTAGTATGCCACCAAGGCCCCCCCCCCCATTTGTATATAGCAGAGTAATACGGACACACAATGAAATTTCCTTTGATGATAGTTGATAATGGTAATAATAATGAACATTAATCATGTATTTTACATGATCTAGCCATAGTCCTGAGGAGTCCTGGTGTGGCACTGTGGGATAATGCACTGGACTGCAAGGTCAATTTTAATTGCATGGTTGACAGTTCAAACACACCAACTGCTCCTTGGAAACCCTATATGGGGTTGCTATGAGTTGGAACCAACTAGACAGCAATTAACAATGACAATAAATATGCAGAAAAAATACATGTATATATTAAATATAATTTCCTGCTAATTTAAAGTTTAAGAAAATGACATTGTTATACAAGCTGATAACTAATTTGTTTTTCAAGAATGAAAGCATTTATTCATTAAATATGTTAGAAAATTTTCATTTACATGTTTTAGAAAAATGTTTCATGTCATGGAATTAACTGAGCAATAATTGTGTAAGAAATTTCAGGTTTTTAAAAAAAATAATTTTAACAAAAGCTATATATGTGGATACTAGTAAGATTGATCATTAAAGTGTACATTAAAACAAGATTACATTGTCGAGGACCAGCCTTGACAAGGGGGTTCGGTTCACGAAGTTGGGAGATCTGGCGGCGACAGAGATAGAGAAAGAATACACACAAAGACGCAAAGAGAGAGAACACAAAACACCAAGAAACCAGAGTGGATGCGACACTGGCAGGCAGACCCTGGACTACCGGCAACGTGGTCCCTGCAGGCAGTAAAGCACCGCCCTGCAAACCTTAATTCATGCCTTGCTAGCTGTAATGCCTCGCATGCCAGTCGTAATGCATGTGGGCTTTGGTCTGCAACCCCCGTTTTATTTCAGGGAGGAGCTTTACACAAAGGAAGGTGGGGTTTATTAAGATGGGGTACAGAAGTGAAATGTGATTAACTGTTCATCACAGGACACAAGGATTTACAGGTACAAATTCTAAAACATACATCACAAATTGTCTTGATAATCTAACATCCTCAATTTTCCAGAAATTCAAGCAAATTATTACATGGTACTTTTCAGGTTAGAATCCCAAGACCACAACTCGGTTTCTCAAGCCTAATTAACATACCTATAGCACCTAATCTCTGATGGGGGAAGGTGAAAAGGATTGGGAGGAGTCCCGCTGTGTCGGCTGCCTGGGCCAGGTTTGCAGGAGGAAGCAAGAAGCCTAGGTCAATGAGCTGCACCTGGGAGTGATTTAAGATGGCAGTCCTTTTGTTCTTTGAACAAAACCTTGGAAGTTGCCCATCTACTTTGAGTTAATTCCTTGGGCAGCCCGGCTCCAGCAAACTTGCCTTTGGAACTATTTACAGCCTCGGCTTTAGGATAGGTTTTAATATTTGTCCATGGGTATTAAGGGCTCATGTATTAAGTTAATATCAAACATAACTAAATAATTTGATAAAGAACGGTTTAGACGAGCTTGCCCCGTGGCCAGAGTTTGTTCCTCAGAGAGATTTGTTCTTAGAACCTTAAGCACTGCCAACACAGTGGAGACATTAAGAGGGGCACATTAAGAAACCATTTTCTCAGAGGCTACCATTACAGGGGTTCGAAGCATAGAGTGAATTAATAGGGCTAAAGAGAATTATACAGAGCTAGCCCCACAGTGAGTTCGTAAAAGCCAATGAACCTGGGACATCCTGAAGTTACTTCCTTGAGCCCACAGGGTCTCTGGCCAGCAAGTCAGAGTACAGTCACGTGCTGGATTTTCGTCCATGACACTGGTCCTCAACACCCCAATACCTTCAGTCTGCAACATTACATTATTTAAATTTTTTTCTAAATGCTATTTATATCAATACTAAATTTCTTTTACTGATGAGACCTGCATTTTGAAGAATCTGTTAATACTTTTAGTTCTATTCACAAGTTTGTGCAAGAGTTAGTCATTGAATTACTGTTGCACTCAATTCAGGATTATAACCCTAATTCACATACCCCACTAGATAATCCTTTTGTTTGGAATAGACACTGAGAGTTATTATATTCATTTATAAACTATGGCATACAATCATGCCATGTCATGTCATATATATAATTCAATATTTTGTACGAGTAGGAACTGACTCAACAGCATATCACTACCACCAGACTACACTGAATTTAGGTAGCCCACTAGATGATAGAAATCAACTTGTTAATATTTCCTTCTCTAGAATGCAGAAATTATATGCGTATGGAGGGGTGTGTGGAAGGGGAGTTAATCCTTATCATCCCTAGGATAACAATAACAGTTTATGTTCTGGACTACCCATAGGAATACCTTTATAAAAATAAACCTTACCCTTATATGGTGCTGTGGGTTAATGCACTGGACTGCAAAGGCAGTTTGAACTGCAAGGTCGGTGGTTCAAGCTCACCAGCCACTCCTCAAAAACTACATACAGGATCATTACGGGTCAGAACCAACATGAAGACACTTGACAGCAACAGCATAGAAAAGTGGGCAATGTCTTCTGTCTCCCACCCCCTGCCACATTTCTCTCTCCATTTTGTGCATGTTAGTCAAAAAGGGGGAAAGAAATAAAAATTAACAAAACTTTTGGGATATGAAATGTTTATTTTATTTGACAATTTCTTTATGAAACTATGCACTAAATGTTTATATGATCTGATAGAGTCATAGAAGTCCTAGTGATATAAAGTCATAAAATACTTAATAGATCTTGAATAACCATAATTTTTGCATTTACTAAAATTTTACTACTGACTTCATAATTCACTCAGGAAATATTTCCATTAAGTTTCTGAGAAATGAAATGTTTCAGCCATCAGTTTTTGCTTAAAATATAATAAACATACTTATTTCAACTTCAAATAAATTAACATTTGTGCATGTTTTCTCTAGGCTTTTCCACAAATAAAGAACAGGGTGTCAGTAAATATAGTCAGCTAAGGTAGAGAGAGTCCTGTTTTGGAAATATAAAAGAATGAAATAAATGAGTACTAGGGAAAGTCTGGTTATAACTGCAGTTTAAGTACTGGGGAAACATCACTTACATGGTGTGGTTACAGCATTTTACACCATTTCATTTTCTACATTATTCTGCCAGATTACTCCAAATGCTATACTTTCCCCATATATTGGGTGTCAACTAAGTTTCAAGCAGGACATTCACTTATATACAGAGTTAAGACTTAATCATTGGTGGGTAATTTAGGTTTGAAGTGGTATACATTGACAGAGAACTTCCAGAGGTTCAAGCCAGATTCAGAAGAGGATATGGAAAGAGAGATATTACTGTTTAAGTTAGATGGATCTCGGATGAAAGCAGAGAATACCAGAAAGCTGTTTATCTGTGCTTCATTGACTATGCAAAGGCTTTCTATTGTGTGGATCATGACAAGTTTTGGACAACATTTCAGAGAATGAAGACTTAATTGTTCTCATGAGGAACCTGTGCACAGACCAAGAGGCAGTAATCGAACAGAACAAGGAAACATCAAATGGCTTAAAACTAGGAAAGGTGTGCACCAGGGTTGTATTCTTTCACCATATTTATT